ATCACTCATCTAAGATTTGATGACAACCTTTAGTGCATTCAGCTTTGATGGGAAACATATAAAGACCGATCACTTAATTTTCGTGTTCTCGGATGTACTCTGACGGAAGAGGCAATTATTGTCTGTAGTTTTCAAACAAAGTTGACGATGTATTGGTTCCAGACACAAATTATCACTATTTTGAGAATATGTGCACACGATCATTAATGTATCGAGCCAAATATTTGAGTAACCATGGTAACATTCTTGATCATTTTGACTTTCTATTGAGTTGTGATGGTTTCGGAATATATCTAAACCTGCAAACAAAGGGAAAGCAGATTTGATTAACTCAGTATGATAACAAATCTTCATTTGTGGAATAGAGTCGGACTGTGGAAAGTATATAACACCATTTCAATCAATGGTTAAGTACTTGTGAAATACTTTCTAATCTTTACCGTCACATACAGAAGGTGTGGTAAAAGTATTTTGATGAAAAAAAAAACATGATGAGTTTTATAATCAGTTGTGAATTTTGTTCACTACGCCTCGCTTCACTGGTTAAATCACCATTTTTTTCTGATTATGCAAACATTTTCATTTGTTAAATGACATTAAGACATTATCTATTTCTAAACTCTTAAAAATGAATGTTGTCTTTGCTATTTTGCTTTATCAACACTGAATAAAATACACACTTCCGTCGCAACTGTCATGCTGACGTTATCTCAAGGGAAATTCTCCAACTGTGTAGTGATTTAGTGGCATACCAGTGCAGTCATGCTTTTGTTAAAGAAGATACCACAAAAAAAAAAAAAAAAATTAAAAATTAAAAAAAAATCCCATCCTTTTAAATTTATGGCATGATAGCGCATATACCACTCATCGTGCATGCTGTGTGTAGTTGTTTTTCTAAATTACTCCTTGCATAGAACTTAAAGGCAGACTGATTTATATCGCGTTCCTACTACATATGCAGTAAAATATTTCACCTTATTTGTAAAATTCCAGCAAATATGTTATTGATGAAAAATCACGATTGACAAATAAATTAAGAAAATTCCGATGAATCCGACATCTTTCTGCTCTGAGAGTGTGCCCTAAAATTGATCTGTTACAGATGCTAAACTCAACTAATTACGTTGTTTGTCATATAAAACAGATTGTATGACTGCTACGTGTTGTTTACGTTTCATACTAGCTGTGGTGGGTATCGGATGATTTCATATGGGCAGGTGTCATAACCAATCTGTGTGTTGAGGAATTCAAGTTGTTCATGACAATGACCCGAAAAGATACGATCTTATCAAATGATATCATTTGTAAAAATTAATACGGTTTGCTGATAAAATGATACCATGGCGTATTAAAATGTTTAACACTGATTGACCCTACCAAAACCAGACAGACAAGCTGCATCGCTATCGAGATAAATAAGACTCGCCTGTCTGTTTACTTTCGAATTTGAACGTGACGCTATGCAAATCCGTGATACATAGGTATAACATCAACACAGGCTACAAAAGCTTAAAATGATACATCGAAAATTGATACAGATACCCAACCATTACTCAACAAGTCATTAAGAATAATTCACAGAGAAGCTACTCTTTAATATATATTTGTATAGTTTGACAGTCTCCCACATTGTGTCATATCTATTTGATGTTAAAAGACTATTAAATACTTTAAAAAATCAGTATCCATTTTGATTTTTAATAGAAAATAGCTTGAACTTTCTTGGAATTTCTTTTCCTTTTTCAACAAAAATCAAAATATTTTCTAATTTCATGCTAATTTGGACTTTGAAATAATCAAATGTTATTTCACTACCTGCATTCTTTTCGACGGTTTTAAATGAAACTTTAAATTTCATTACTTTTATACTGAGTAATGTTTTAAATGCATAAATGATTCACAATACTTTAAGTTGGCCTGTTAACATCTTTGTTTATTTCAATAATACCTCACCACCATATAGACAATAGCGTATTCCCACCGGCAGCCCATAATTTACATAACAAAGAAAATAAATATCCCGTGAGAGGACCCTTAATGCTTGGTACGAACGCACCGCGCATGACCCAAAACCTCACTTCCGCTTATGGCAGCCATCACCGACTGAGGAGCGACATTTCTTCTACGGTTTTCAGGCATTTCTTAGTGTTTCACGTGTTATTTGTGTTGTACAGTATCTGTATTTGGTTCTTACATTTATTGTTGACAGGTCTTTCTTCGTGGTTTGTGTTGTCAGTCCCTGTTTTTGCCGTTTTCGGCCTTTCTGTGTTGGTTGGTTACCGCACACGTGGACTGTTTTACGTTACGATACCGCTGTGTAGAAGGCCCTCTCGGTGTCTCCTACTGTTTGTTTTGTTACCATTTACTTCTGTCAACTATTCGGTGTTTTTCACTCGATTTTTTTTCTCGTGCGTTGCTGGTCGCTGCCCGCCGAGCAGTATGACAGGTAAGAAGGGGCAGAGTGCTTCTAAAACTCGTCAGGGAGATTGCGGTCATGTCATCCTCGATGGGGATGACCATGACCTCTGTCTTTCCTGTCGAGACTGCTCCCGGGATAGACCTTGTTCCGTGTGTTTGGCTTGGCCACATACCTTGTGGGACAAGGTACTATCCCATAAGTCTGTCACCCGAAAAAAGGGTATTAAGGCTGGGGCAGACAGTAAGCATCCAAAAGCACAGAGTGGAGCTGTAGTCAGCCTTCCACCTGGCAGTGAGGCCATTTTACCCCCGGAGGGGGAAGTAATTTTGCTTCCTAGTGGTAGGTCCTCTTTGGCTACAGAGGAGCCTACTCACGATCATATTTCTGGGACGGTAGGGTCCTTAGGGTTTCCTATCGTGCTCCAGAAGGGCACTCACCCGGGAATTTCCGTGGAGGTCGAAGGGAGCGAGTGTCCGGGTACCATCTCCGTTAGCGGAATGGCTACCGAACAGGCCAGTCATGCGACCCGGGCCCCATTGAGGGGTGCCGGTGTACCCACTGACAGTTGGCCGGCTGGCACTGCCAGTTATGACGGTGTTACTGGAGAGGCTGCACTGGGAGCAGGGAGTGACTCGGTTTCACTTCCTGGTGTTGGGGTTGACTACCCACTATCTGGGTTTGGGTCCAGGGTATTGCACCCTTCGGTTCCTCAGTCTTCCTTACCTCGATCTGGTCCTCCACCAGTTCGAGCTCCTGGCTCAGTGGGGTTCTTGGGAGCGCCTGTGCACCCCCCACCTTACCCCTTTCCTCAGTCTGCACCCAGGTTTGGTGGTTATATGCAGTCTCCTGACAGTGATGGCCATTATCGGCCATACTTGACAGGCATGTCTCCAGTAGGGAGCAGTTCATTTCCCGGTCCTGTGGGTTCCGGTATGTTGCCTCCCCCCCCAGTATTCTGGCTATGGCCAATGCTGGGGCCCTTCCCAGCCTTTGGGATTTCCATACTCTGGGTATGGTCAGACCCCTTTTGGTTACCCAGGCCAACCTTGGGGTACCTCAGCCTTCTGTCACCAGCCTGGTGTTGAGTCGGGTCCCCCCCCTTCTCGCTCTCGCCAACACAAATCTAAGAGGCTTAACCGTCCCTCAAAGATTTCGGCTGACACCCATAAGACCTCGCTTTCCCATAGGTCTAAGCGTAAGGTCAACTTTGCTAATCTTAGTGCTGGCCTTTCTTCTACCTCTAAGGTTAGAAGATTGGAGACTCCGGACCAGTCTGTGACTAGGTCTGTCTCCAGTTTAGGCCAGTGCCCTCAGTCTGATCATGATGAGTCTGAGGACATGGATTGTGAGGAGTCAGAGGCTGAGGTTGTGGGTCAGCAGGCCTTACCTGATGATGGGGACACTCTGTCACTGGATGCTGGGTCTGATGTTGAATCGGAGACCCGCTCTTGGCTCCCAGCAGTCCAAGTTGAGGGTTCCTGTCAGGAGTCTTCAGACTCCGAGGTGGACTCTCCTGACACCGAGTCAGTCCTTGCAGTCTCCCAGGCTGAAAGGAATCTGGATTCCTTCCGCAGCCTGCGTTTGGAGGTTGCGTCACTCCTCGGCGTGGAGTTTTGCCCTCCTCCCTCAGCTTCGGGTCTTCCAGAGAGGACTTCTACTTTAAGTGCCTTTCTTCCCTCAGAGCCTGAGGTTAGGGCATCAGGTAGGTCATTGGCGGAGGGTACTATGGTTTCCTCAGCATTGGCCCAGATTCAGAAGGTTCTTCAAGCCAAAGGTTCTGCTAATAGGAAGCAGGATCTTTCCGGTTTGCTTTTGGGGGTGAATGATATTGAGGGGTTCAATCCTTCTCGATATGCAGTTCACGACCCCTCAATAGAATCTAATCCAGCTAAGGTGGACCTTCTTTTGGACCACTGCTGGCCTGGAAGATCAAATGACATGATTCATTTGTCTCCCAAAGAGCATAGTCGGATAGAAAGACTGCTTCGCCTTGCCATTCACGTGCTGGCTTATGCAGATTCTTTTTCCCCTGCTTTGTTTGTAGCTTCTTCTCGTTCGGAGGAGAGCCTACCTGACAAGACTAAGCTCTTGGCTGAACTCAGCAAGGCTATGAACCGGGCCCACATGGATGGGACTGCGCTCATTCTGGCAGTTTTGACTGATTTCATTCTGGCTCGTCGTGCTTCAGTCTTGAAGCCAAGACTAACTATTGGAGAGCCTTTTATATCGGATCTCATGACTGCTCCCCTGTCAGGCTCTGAAATGTTTGGAGGGGTTCTCTCCTCTGTCATGGACAGAGTCAACAATGACAAGTCAGCTTCAGCTCGGTTGGAGAAACTTAGGGCTAAGCCTAAGCCTGGACGGGTGCAGCGCCCAGGCAAGCCTAAGAAGGGCCCTAAGACGGCTCAGCCTCAGGCTCAGTCGTCTGTTACCTCGACTTCTCGAGGGGGGCACTCTTCTCGGGGACGGGGTGGTCGGGGTCACAAGGGAGGAAGGGGAGGCAAGCAGAATGCAGGTAAGAAGGGGCAGAGTTCCTGACTCTTTCAGTCCCTCGGTTCCACCCTGCCCCTTGTCCTGTCGTATGGACGATCCATGGGAAGGTCTCGAGCTCCCAAGGCCAGATCTTCCCGTTGGGGGTCGCCTTTCTCATTTTCTGCCCGATTGGCAGCAGCTTACCGAGGACAAGTGGGCAATTTCGGTGGTGTCCGAGGGTCTGGGTATCCCCCTTCTGAAGGATCCCCCTCTATCGGCAGATCCTGTTTTCTTTCCCCCTCCCGGCGATGCAGGAAAGGCTCAGGCCCTCCTAGACGAGGTCGACTGCATGTTGGCAAAGGGTGCCATAGAGGAGCTCCCGAGGTCTCTCTGGACACCAGGCTTTTACTCCCGTATGTTTCTTGTCAAGAAGAAATCCGGGGCCTGGCGTCCAATCATAGACCTCAGTGCCTTCAACAAGTATGTGGACTCTCCACATTTCAAAATGGAGACTCCTCGAGGCATTCTGGCGTCAGTTGCACCAGGCATGTGGGCAACCTCTATAGACCTCAAGGACGCTTATTTCCACATTCCGATAAAGAAATCGGCCAGGAAATTCCTGAGATTTACATCCCAGGGCAGAGTGTTCCAGTTCAGGGCCATGCCCTTTGGTCTTACCACAGCCCCCTTGGTTTTTACCAAGCTGCTTCAGGTGGTTGTGGGCTATTTACACAGTCGCGGAGTAGATATCCATATTTATTTCGACGACTCCCTGATGCTGCATCTAGATCCAGAGTCTTTGAGTCGCAGCACCAGGTCAGTCTTGACTACCCTTCTTCGCCTGGGCTTTATCCCTTCTCGAGAGAAATCCGAGGTTTTCCCCTCACAGGACTTTGTGTTCCTGGGAAACCGTTTCCTTACGGATCTCGGCCTCGTTGTTCCACCTCCGTCCAAGTTCCAGAAAGCCAAGGAATTGGTTCTTCTGCTCAACAGTTTGGACTCTATTCAGGTCAGGTGGTTTCTGAGGCTTCTCGGATTTCTCAACTCCCTTTCGGATGTTGTCCCTCTGGGTCGGCTCCATATTCGACCTCTTCAGATGTACCTACTGTCCAAATGGAAACCGGCCTCTCATCAGTGGGAGGTTCACATTTCCTTGGACAATTCCGTGAAGGCGTCGGCTATGTGGTGGGCATTGGAGAGCAATGTCCTGAAGGGCGTCTCTCTTCGGAGATCATCCCCTACAGCTACCCTGTATACGGACGCATCTATGACGGGTTGGGGGGCCTACCTCGACGGTCATTGTCGTTCGGGTGTCTGGCAGGGAGATCAACTCCAGGAGCATATCAATGTGCTGGAGATGAGGGCAGTTCTGCTGGCTATTCAGTCTCTGCGTCTGTTGCTTCAGGATCAGTCCATCTGCCTGGCTACAGACAATGCCACAGTAGTAGCTTATCTGGAGAATCAGGGAGGGACAAGGTCTCACAAACTTTGTGCTCTCGCTTGTCAGGTCCTGCTCCTGTGTCGTTCCATGGGGCTTTCCCTAACAGTGAGACATCTTCCAGGTCATCTCAATGTGTTAGCAGACACCCTCTCCAGGTCTCGGAGTCCAATTATCACAGAATGGACTTTGGACAGGTCAGTTTTCAGAGCCATCTGTATGGTGTGGGAGACCCCCCTAGTGGATCTGTTTGCCACAGCTCTGAATTTTCAAATTCAGACGTTTGTGTCGCCTGTCCCAGATCCTATGGCATGGGCAGTAGATGCTCTGTCCCTAAGCTGGGACGGTCTTCTGGCCTATGCTTTTCCTCCCTTCAATCTGTTGGGCAGAGTGCTGCAGAAGGTCAGGGAGCACGACTGCTCAGTTCTTCTGATAGCACCTCTGTGGCCCAGACAGCCCTGGTTTCCTGCTCTGCTGGACTTATTGATAGACCTTCCATTGGCTATCCCTCCCAAATGGAATCTTCTCAGTCAACCCAAATCCAGACAGTTCCATCGGAACCCAGAGCGCCTCCACCTTCACGCGTGGAGGCTATCTCGGTCTCCCTCCTCCAGGCAGGCTTTTCTGAAGAGGTTACAGATTGCATCACCAGATCAATACGATCTTCCTCATCTGCCGTCTACCAATCAAGATGGTCAGCCTTCTGTGATTGGTGTCACAGCAGGAAGATTGATCCACTCTGTTCCTCTATTCAATCGATAGCTGAGTTTTTCCTTTATCTTTTTAAGGTTAAGAAATTAACTCCAGGCACTATACGTGGCTATCGTTCTGCCATTGCCAATGTTTTTTCCTACCGAGGGCGTTCAGATATCGGAAATTGTTCCTCCTTGTCCAATCTTCTCAGATCCTTCTCTTTGGAGAAGCCTCGGGTTAGACTGCTGATGCCACAGTGGGATTTGGCTTTGGTCTTAGATTCTCTTACTAAGCCTCCTTATGAGCCCTTGGCTTCTGCTCCTTCCAAGTTTCTCTCTTGGAAGACAGTTTTTTTGATAGCGTTGGCTTCTGGGAGACGGAGAAGTGAAATCCATGCTCTATCCTCTTCTTCTTCTTGTCTCAGGTGGTCTCGGGACTATTCCTCGGTTACCCTTCTTACTGATCCTTCTTTTTTGGCAAAGAATCAGGTTCCTAATTTTTCACCAGAGCCTATCAAGATTCCTGCCTTAAAGGAGGTCTCTGGTGCTGAGAATCAGAATTCGTTACTCTGTCCTTGTAGGGCTTTGAGGTTTTATCTCGATAAAACCAAGGGGGGGCGGCGGGAGTCTAGATCCCGTCTGTTCTTGCCCATTAAATCAAGGCAGACTGATATCTCTGCTTAGACTATTTCTAGGTGGATTTGTGACACCATCAGGACTGCTTATGAGGGGTCTAGTGCTGACACTTCTGACAGGGTTAGAGTGAGGGCACATGAGGTTAGAGCTCTTTCAGCATCTTGGGCCCTTTTCAATGGTGCCTCATTCGAGGATATCATGGCGTCAGCCTTCTGGCGAGGCCGTAACACCTTTGCGGATTTTTATCTTCGGTCGCTTTCCTCCCATGCAGATGGGTTGTACTCTCTGGGTCCTCTTGTCACTGCTCAGACAGTCTCATGTCCCCCAGTCAATTCTTAGGAAGGCTACCTTGCGGCTCAGAAGGATTTTTAGAGTTTTAATTGTTAATATCCTTTACCCTTATGGGTTTTTAATGCTGTTTTTTGCTACGATTAGTGATTGTCTGCGAAGACTCCTCTACGGTAAGACAAATTCGCTATTGTCTATATGGTGGTGAGGTATTATTGAAATAAACTTGAGGTTTTTGTAGTAAAACCAATGTTTATGATATAATACTCACCACCATATATTGGAGGTCCCTCCCTCCTCCCCTTGTCTTCTCATCCAATTTGTTTGGGTGCGGAAGTGAGGTTTTGGGTCATGCGCGGTGCGTTCGTACCAAGCATTAAGGGTCCTCTCACGGGATATTTATTTTCTTTGTTATGTAAATTATGGGCTGCCGGTGGGAATACGCTATTGTCTATATGGTGGTGAGTATTATATCATAAACATTGGTTTTACTACAAAAACCTCAAATTTCTGTTATTTTGATGTCACATCCCTTGAGGCGTTTGATAAATTCCATACTACATCGGCGCGAATGTAAGGTGCTATTTAACACGCAGTTCTGAAAACAAATAAGTGAAAATTCTCAAATTAATTTCCTTTTAAGAGAAACTTTTCTCGATGCGGACGGTAGCTTTTCACTACCGAGACAATTATGTGACGTCATCAAGCAGCCTCATTTCGATGCGGACAATACATTTTCACTACTAAAACAATGATGTGACGTCATCAAGACAGACTTATTTCGATGCAGACACTAGTTTTTCCCTACCAAGAAAATGATGTGACGTCATCAAGACGTGACTTATTATTGGGGTACACTATAGTCTTGTTGCATGTGTCTTACGATGCACGATGACACCGTCGTTGGAGACGACACGAGAAACTAGTTATATGACCAATGTAACATGACACTATAACAACGTAAAATACACTATTGTAAATTTAATTTGCTGTTCAAGAATTTCAAATTCTATTTATGGGCCTTATATGTGTACGACATTGAATGATTAATTGCATAAAGACACACGGGTCTTGTTTAAATCATTCACGACATTCATAATGCTATTATGTGAAGCAAATAATGCACAAAGAAAAATTCGTTTGTGAGAACATACACATACCGAACATGATTTTCCTGTTTAGAGCTCCTTAGTGTGATTGTTTAACAGATTTTCTCAAGTTTCTAATCTTCGTATGTGCACAGGGTGTTTGTTTCTTTGTTACTTTGTCACTCCTACCAGTAATAAAAAAAAACATATATTACCTTTTTGGAACACTTTGGGATGTTTTTAGTTAGAACTTAAATACATCATAAATATATATATGCGATTTCATAATGCAAGGTTTACGCATTTTCATATTTGAGTGTATAAAACTACGGTTTTTATCTAAAGTACCCTTTTCTGTTGGCAGAGTCTAATGAGAGATCCTCCTTAGGTTCAGAGCGTTTTGCCGACTCTGACGCCAGCGATTCACAACTCCACTTATTACCTTATTCGGAGTTGTTATGATGGAAAACTGGCTGAACAAAAAAAAAAAATCCACATTTGAATACCAAACCCATTTTACACGAAAATAATGTCTGCATCTATTTAGAAAGCAGTGACGCGTAGATCACTTATGCGAATGTGGCTTTTACCGGAGATATATAATGTTCTACATTGGATTAAATAGGGCTGTAAATTCTGGATGTAACATGGCTTATGAGTGAGCTAATGGCGCATTTCTATACTGACTACACAAGAACACACTGATTTATACTTACATACCTATATACCTAACAGTTTCTCATTAGTTCAAACAACAGTTTACATACATGAAATTGATTTTGTTTGAAAGCCGATACTGAGAGAGAGGCAATACATTTAAACTGAACGTTCGTAATTTCGCTTCAACATTTACTCCGAGTAAAAAATCATTTCGACTTTATAAACCTTTACAAAAATATCGTATATATATTTTACTTAACGAACAATTGCGTCTACACATGATATATTCTAGGGTAAGAAAGTCATTACATTACAGAGATACATTACATAGTCTGTGCCAAATTACAAATTATTAATCAGTACTTGTGCGTTTCTGACCCCAATCAATTAGCATGCTAAGGTATAAACCTTTAAGTTTTCTGTGTGATAAGTAGTTGCGAAGCTCACTTTACAAAAATCAGATTTCAAGATATTAACAAATCAAACCTACAAGTATATACGAGAATGCGCGTGTATAAAAAAACCTATTCATGTTTTATCTGGTATATCCTAAGACTGTGCTAAGATCTGATTAAACACTCCCCGCCCTAAGTGGAGATTTACCTCAAGGTCGTGTGTGGGTTTATACCTGTTTACTTGGTTTAGTAAATGCCACTGATTTCATTGGAATAAGCATAACAATGCTTTTAAAAAGTACATAAAGTACATAATATCCTTGTGGTCGCGCACCTGGTAACCTGCGACAAAACGGCGTGAACTTTGTTTAACTTCAGTCAAATCGGCCTACAGGTTGTCGTCAGATTATTAGTCCAAATGTATATCTCTTTAAGCCTGTAACCATCTTTTATATATAATAGATATTAATATTCTTTTGTAGTGATAACAACGGATTGAAATCGTAATATTTAGACAAATCACAAAACATAGGAAAACTTGAACCTTTTTCATGGTCGCTCAAATTCCTCTTTGGAAACGTCACCGGTTTCGTTGTAATGAATGTTGTTTGAGTTTTGACAAACACGATTACTATTCCCTACATCTACAGATATTTTGCGACATCCTTCTCTAGTTTCTGTACAGTCTATCATATTCTATATATCAATATTCTAACGAGTCGCATGGCGTTAGGGTGATTAGTCTGGGGAAAGCATATCCCATTTCCAATGCTACGGAAGCAGCTTATAGGCCTACGTCACTGTATCATAAGTATGTTGATTTTAAAGTTTTGAGTTTAAAGGAAGATTAAATTTCTTTCTATTTTTATGAAAAATCTTTTCTCCAATACCAATTTCAGTTTAATTTGATTTAGTTCATTCCACAGAATACTTGCATAGTGTTCGGTGTTTATTTGATGGTTAGAACTGCTCGGCGAAAATATAGAGAATTATTCAATGTTTTAGTCTGTCATTAGTGCTTAAGTATCATATCCACGATAAATGCCTATTCAATTTATACAATGAAAGGTGTTTCCCTTCAAACTGAAGAGCTCCACCTGGTGGTCGAGCGTGATTCTACTGTTTCCCACAAACAAAGGTAATATTATGTGATATGTTGACATGAGTATTGTAGTATATCGGTAACAAATCGCGAGACAGACAGTGTGTCAAGACGTGGTCAAGAGTTTAAATGTCCACAAAAACCGCAGATTAGGGAGCCTGTAGGGAGTATGGCACTTATCACCCGCAGACATCTTGGGCCTGTTGATTATAGTTATAATTTCTCTCGTAATCAGCAACATTGTCAAAAACAGACGTCTCAAATGTTTCTTTATTTTTCATTAAAAATGTTTTTCACAACGCGAAACTGGTTTGAACAAGAATAGACAGGTGCTGTTACAAGTACAGTGTATACATTTGTAGTATTGATAGGCCCACAAATAATTATGTTGCATAGTTGAAAAATAATTTATGATCTTTTTGCTATCTAATAGACACATCGCACAAACCTCTGAAGACCATTTCGACATTCCCCTCTCACATCGTAACAACCCCTGACATCATGCCATGTCATCCCACCTACACGCGTGTCTTCACATATTCTTCCACATCCACAGATCCCCTTCCATATCCTTAACTATCATATCTAATACTCGGACCCCTTCCACACTCTACCTCCTCCCAATCAAAACCTACCCACCTCATCACTCATCACATCCCCTTCAATACCCTCACCCATCCTACCACTCATCACATCCCCTTCAATACCCTCACCCATCCTACCACTCATCACATCCCCTTCAATACCCTCACCCATCCTACCACTCATTACATCCCCTTAAATACGTTCACCCATCCTACCACTTATCATATCCCCTTCAATACCCTCACCCACCCTACCACTCATCACATCCCCTTCAAAACCCTCACCCATCCTACCACTCATCACATCCCCTTCAAAACCCTCACCCATCCCACCACTCATCACATCCCCTTCAATACCCTCACCCATCCTACCACTCATCACATCCCCTTCAATACCTCCACCCATCCTACCACTCATCACATCCCCTTCAATACCTTCACCCATCCTACCACTCATCACATCCCCTTCAATACCCTTACCCATCCTACCACTCTTCACATCCCCTTTAACACCCTCATACATTCTACGACTTCCTCACAGAACCTTCAGTACCCTCACATATCTTACACTCTACCATATCCTACCATACATTACTTATTAAGCAGCATCGCCGTTCTCACTCCCATCCCTCAACAACGTATTTTATTAAACCGACATTTCAGACCATCCACTGTACAAGTTTTAGAATCCCTGTTGTCTACCAGTAGCACCTGATTTTCCATCAGATGGTGTCTAGACATCTTTATATCGAAATCAATAAATTCACATCTTCTGCATTTCAAGCAAACACACGTATCAGACACGAAAAAAAAACATAATTTCTTCACTGCATTGCTAGACGTACCAACTCCCATGAGAAGTTCTACCGAAACGTGTGCTGTATTGCAAGCTTTAGTATCAGGCCAAATAACGGGCAAGCCGACGCTTGTGAAACGTAAAGTCTCTACAATACTGTATTTATAACGTCATCTTTTCCTCGCACAATTCAAATATCTAAACAATGTCGGGTTCTAGTTTTGAATGCATTGGCTATTTTCACGGCGATAGACATTTCTTAGAAACCCTGGAAACTAGCCATAGAGATACGGCGCCCTTAGAGTCTAACCAGAGGAACAAAACCCCGGCATGTTTACACTACCGCAAACAATAGCAATAGAAAAAAAAGGCGTTCATGGGAACGCAAATGTCTGACATTTGTATGGACATTCTGCCAAGACTGACAACCCAGTTCCTAAAATTCTACATCGGGGATACTTATAGTGAGATAAGGTCTACTTACATATTTAAGGTGTAAATAAAGTGCAAATTATTTTGTTTTACCCTCAAACCGCTAAAAAGCAAATCCGATTTATCTGTGAACTACAACATATGGGATACTGCTGGTATTGGGTGGCCGGTTGGCGCAGTGGTAACGCACTCGCCTTACACCTGACGGTCCGGGGTTCGATCCTCGGGTACTCCTGTTCCCTACCTCCAGCTTCCATACGGGTCAACACGAGTGATTAATATAAGTTCGAAAAAGTTGTTTCGCAATTGTTGTAAAATAAATAAAATTATTTTATTATTATGACCGGTATTTGACACTGAATATGAAATCAAATGACAGTCTTTTTTTTGTAGAAAGTGTCATTTATTTTTATCTCAACAAATGGCTTTCCTAAGGACCCTGACTGACTCTCCTTGGGACGATACAGGTATATGTAGAAAGTTCAAGGCATCTTAGTGCAAGAATCGTACACAAGCTGTTGAGGAAGGTACTGGGTCATTTTGATAAGATACTATTGTGCATGTCGTCAGATTGAACTGTCGGAATTACTCCAAATTTACCCCTGTTAAATGACAGAGATTTAAAGAATCTGTCATATGAGGTTAAGAACAGCTTTTTATACTAATGCTTCTGATATCTGGCGACGTTTGGATAGTCCATGCTTTGTCAAGACCTTAGATCTAGGAAAGAGTGGAAAGGACAAGGACACATCGCACAAAGAATATGTTCATGGTGAAAGGAACGCTTACATTCTACATGTGAATATCGCTTTATCTCAATAAATCGACAGCGTAACTATCCGAAAACATACAAATATTGAAAAAAATAGGGACAAACATCGAATAGAGAGATTACTGTCAAGAAATCCAAAACTGTTCACACCACCACCGCTACAAAACGTGGACTAGAAATCACTGGTCCTTTGTTGAACACGTATATGCTTGAGGTACATCGATTTATTGCATCTTCTTAATGGAGAATAATTTATTCTAAAATAACCAATATATCTTTTATAGTAAATGTGGTAGTTCACACTTGAAGAACTTAGTAAGTACCATTTTGACGAGAGTCAATTGTACAAATACATTTATAATAAAAGCACACGGAGTGAGAAAAACAGCAGTTGGACATCACGCCATATAAAACGAAATCGAGACCTTACATAAATATCGTAATGAAATGAGATCTGATATCAAGCTACATAAACTCTAGCCTTCTGATGTTCACGCATGACTGAACTCAGGGCTAATGATGATTGATGACTCAAGATGAGAGAAAACTTAGGATATTTTGTTCGTGTATAAGTTCAATAGTCAGTCAAGTTTTCTTCGTGTATGTACATCCAAGCTCTAGCCTTCTACAACCTGCACCTGTATAGGTAATATTTAAAATCTGCATAACGAACTGTCTAGAAAGTCATATTAATATTTTCGTCGTGAGTCTTACATCGTACGTGCCTGAAATGCTGGTAGGAAAGCCATGTTTGCACAGATACGCATATTACTAAGGACATATTTACGTGGGTGTGTAACTCAACATTTGACTTTCAAATCAACTTTATCTCGAAAATTTTTAAAAGAAAAGTGGGAAAAATTGTGGAGATTCCTGGGAGGTGTGGTTAATGTAGACAGTTATGTAGTTTTGAGAAAGCAAACCCGGTAATGAAGTCCTTAAAATTACAATGATTTGGGGACCTCGGGAAATGAAATTGTAAATACTGACCTAAGCATTGTAAGGAACTTAGTACCTGGGGTCTTTGTGAATGTATTAGGGAATGTAGTGAAGTTGGTGGCATGGGACCTAGGGAATGTAGTGAAGTTGGTGGCATGGGACCTAGGGGACGTAGTGAAGTTGGTAGCATGGGACCTAGGGAATGTAGTGAAGTTGGTGGCATAGGACCTAGGGGGCGTAGTGAAGTTGGTGGCATGGGACCTAGGGAATGTAGTGAAGTTGGTGGCATGGGACCTAGGAGATGTAGTGAAGTTGGTGGCTAGGGACCTAGGGAATGTAGTGAAGTTGGTGGCATGGGACCTAGGGGGCGTAGTGAAGTTGGTGGCATGGGACCTAGGGAATGTAGTGAAGTTGGTGGCATGGGACCTAGGGGACGTAGTGAAGTTGGTAGCATGGGACCTAGGGAATGTAGTGAAGTTGGTGGCATAGGACCTAGGGGGCGTAGTGAAGTTGGTGGCATGGGACCTAGGGAATGTAGTGAAGTTGGTGGCATGGGACCTAGGAGATGTAGTGAAGTTGGTGGCTAGGGACCTAGGGAATGTAGTGAAGTTGGTGGCATAGGACCTAGGGGGCGTAGTGAAGTTGGTGGCATGGGACCTTGGGAATGTAGTGAAGTTGGTGGCATGGGACCTAGGGGACGTAGTGAAGTTGGTAGCATGGGACCTAGGGAATGTAGTGAAGTTGGTGGCATAGGACCTAGGGGGCGTAGTGAAGTTGGTGGCATGGGACCTAGGGGACGTAGTGAAGTTGGTGGCATGGGACCTAGGGAATGTAGTGAAGTTGGTGGCATAGGACCTAGGGGGCGTAGTGAAGTTGGTAGCATGGGACCTAGGGAATGTAGTGAAGTTGGTGGCATGGGACCTAGGGGACGAAGTGAAGTTGGTGGCATGGGACCTAGGGAATGTAGTGAAGTTGGTGGCATGGGACCTAGGGGACGTAGTGAAGTTGGTGGCATGGGACCTAGGGAATGTAGTGAAGTTGGTGGCATGGGACCTAGGGGGCGTAGTGAAGTTGGTGGCATGGGACCTAGGAGATGTAGTGAAGTTGGTGGCATGGGACCTAGGGGCGTAGTGAAGTTGGTGGCATGGGACCTGGGAGATGTAGTGAAGTTGGTGGCATGGGACCTAGGAGATGTAGTGAAGTTGGTGGCTAGGGACCTAGGGAATGTTGTGAAGTTGGTGGCAAAGAACCTAGAAGATGTAGTGAAGTTGGTGGCTAGAGACCTTGGAGATGTGGCATGGGACTAAGGAGATGTAGTCAAATTGGTGAAATGGGATCTAGGAGATGTAATGAAAATGGAGGGATGGGATCTAGGAGATGTAATGAAAATGGAGGGATGAAACCTAGGAGATGTAATGAAAATGGGGGGATGAAACCTAGGAGATGCTATGAAAATGGGGGGATGGGATCTAGGAGATGTAATGAAAATGGAGGGATGGGATCTAGGAGATGTAATGAAAATGGAGGGATGAAACCTAGGAGATGTAATGAAAATGGGGGGATGAAACCTAGGAGATGTTATGAAAATGGGGGGATGGGATCTAGGAGATGTAATGAAAATGGAGGGATGGGATCTAGGAGATGTAATGAAAATGGAGGGATGAAACCTAGGAGATGTAATGAAAATGGAGGGATGAAACCTAGGAGATGTTATGAAAATGGGGGGATGGGATCTAGGAGATGTAATGAAAATGGAGGGATGGGATCTAGGAGATGTAATGAAAATGGAGGGATGAAACCTAGGAGATGTAATGAAAATGGGGGGATGAAACCTAGGAGATGTTATGAAAATGGGGGGATGGGATCTAGGAGATGTAATGAAAATGGAGGGATGGGATCTAGGAGATGTAATGAAAATGGAGGGATGAAACCTAGGAGATGTAATGAAAATGGAGGGATGAAACCTAGGAGATGTAATGAAAATGGGGGGATGAAACCTAGGAGATGTTATGAAAATGGGGGGATGGGATCTAGGAGATGTAATGAAAATGGGGGGATGGGATCTAGGAGATGTAATGAAAATGGGGGGATGAAACCTAGGAGACGTAATGAAAATGGAGGGATGAAACCTAGGAGACGTAATGAAAATGGAGGGATGAAACCTAGGAGACGTAATGAAAATCGAGGGATGAAACCTAGGAGAGCACGTGAAATTAAAAGCGTGGATAAAGGACCAAAAATTCACTGGTGTCGGTATGAAATATATATCGCATACAAAGCGGGTGGTTTAACATGCGTGAGTCACACACCAATACGGCCCTATACGGTAACATTATATCATAGACAGGGTAAATTTTATCGTCAACTCTTTAAACACGTAAGCTGAACTGAAATCGTTTTGAAAACAGGTTCCTGTTGTAACACATGCCCAAGTACATATATTTGATACAAGTTCTTACCTTTAATGTTAAAATTTTACACTGTAGACACCTCATTTTTTTGTATATCTGCAGAATTCCAGCGTTTACCTTGAACAATTTTAGCCTATAACCACTGTCTACCAGGATGCATTCAACAAATATAGGTTTTGAAAACAGCGATAAAGAAAAAAAATAATTCACATGTGGCCCAAAAAAGTTCCGAGACATTTCTAAATGATCGACTGAAAAAAGAACATCGAGTTTAAAATCTTGTTCGTTGAAAGGATGTGATACATTGGTAGCACATACATATAAACTTACATAAGTTTCAGGGTGAAGAACATTCCATGACGATGAGATGTTGAACCATATTGAAGCATGGTTATAGCATGGTAGTGAGGCTCTCCCGAAAAAGTGCAAAATTTGATAACTCGTCTTTAAAGAATTGGTCAAAACGGCGCTTAACGCTTGTACTATAATATTACTTCAGTGGTAGGCAGCTGAAACAAGCACAAAGTAATCATAGTGATATGGCAGTATTCGTAACAAAAACGTCTACTGTGATGATAGACAGAGACATGAGATAAATATGGTATATATGTAAGATTATATGTTGGTACGTAATTCACGTGCATAAAGTTTAAAATTATATCTATTTGAAATGGCTATTCTGGCAATATAAGCGGATTTACACAAGTAAAACAGGAATCGGATACCCGGTTTACGATAACTGTGGTAAACAATTCACGGCTTATGTTTTTTTTTCACTCAGTAGGATACGAAAAAGTAGCGCTTATGACAATTGAGTAATTATGTACCTGTATTGATACACAATGCTTTCACACAAAGGCACAGTGTACTAATTGTAGCGGAGAACCATACCTCAGAGCACTCCCTAGGTACGGTCACTATTTAGTACCAATTTTCATTTGGCTTTTGTTCAAATATACAACACACAAAACGGGAAACGCCTTATTCTGGACACAACTGATTGTTTTTGTATACTCGATAGTATAAAACTCAAAACTAGCTTGGTTGTGTCAATATACTGTTCGAGTCTGTACACGTATTGTTGCAAAATGCTTATTCAAATCTCCCAAAACCTTCAAACGGATGGGCCATGAGAGAGTTCCAATTCCAAAGTATATGGTTGCAAATATTTGTCGGTAAAATATCTATAAATAGTATGCATACAGTCTTTTGAATTCGTTTTATGACAACATTAGAGTATCCGACAAAAGGTTGTGTCTTATGTTACAGAATCGGCCATGTCAATCTAGGTTAAATCCGAGCAATGTCACGGTGTCCGATACAAAACAGGGTTAGTGGCAACGCAATTAGTATTTAAACAAGCGTCCAACGAGACGAACTTCATGTCACAAAAAAAAAGAAAAAGAAAATATTTCTCATGTATTATTGATCTGACCATAAACAAGTCTTTATCAACATTCCTTTGCAGTTTTGTTCGTTAAAAGTTGACATCCGTCATGGATACCGCTTGTTGGTTTCATATGCTGTTTCATCCGGAATCAACCTTGACATTTGATGCTATAAAATGAGGAAGCGGGTTTGCTAATAAAGAAACGGAACCTAATTAATTTATTTTGATTGTAATGCGTCATCGATTATCATTCGCCTTTAATATATTAATGTGTTATTTAAATTAAGAGCAATTCAGATGTTGAAACCACCTAAGTGATAAAACCGAAAAGGAAACCCAAAACAAAAACGGAAGTAGCAATATATGACTTAGTGGTAAGCTTTTGATGTGGGTCATTTTTTTTTATGTTTGCATCGAGTTAAGCGTCTGTAAGAAAACCCGTAGTATCTAGGAATCAAATTGGCTACAAGGGGCGGGGGTATCGAATTTGAAATTTATTAATTTGGGTTCATTGATCGGAATTGTCAATTAAGCAATTCCAAAGTACATGGACAAGAGTGTAAAATTATATTCATCATATGATAATCATATTTGTTAAAAATTCAGAGAAAGCTTTCAAATGAATTTCCTTCTAAAACAGGCTTAATTCGTCTTGGTATCTTTTTCACTACCAAGAAAATCGCGTGACGTCAAAAAGATATGACTTATTTATGACGTCACAAAAGTGTTCTTGACTTGTATCTTCCGATATATTTGACATGACAATATGGCATGGCACCACAAGCCATATATGTGATATAAACATACATTATGTTTATGCATTTTACACGAATATCATAACACCACTGAACCGGAAGTAAACCTACAAGTAGATACACTTCTGGTATGTGCAGCATGTAACTTGAAATACAAGGCGTCTTTCACTAAAATAACAATGTCTGTATTCATTCAGAGAAATCACATGTGATATACGGATCAACATTAACGATTGTCTATAAAAAGGGTATTAGCAATGATTGACAGGTACAATGTAACGGAAATGTGGCAATTGAATTATAGTATTTGTATGGTGAGTGAATCATCTTGAAGTTTTTCAGCAGAATGTCACAAGAGACTGGAATGATTGATTGAAATGCCGAACATGATCGAACATCGACCACACAATATTGATATCCTCAATGAAATCGATGTGGACATGATTAATATAGATTGAAACAATGGATACAGCCTGGTGCATTTCAACGGCATCGTCAAAACCTAATATATAGTTTAGCTTGTCATAATATAGGCTATTTAGTCATTTAAAGTTTTTGTTGTATTAATCCGAGTTAACCGAAAACATGTTACAGTGTATCTTTTTAATTTAACATATTACATTGTATCTTTTTAATGTAACGTGTTACATTGTATCTTTTTAATGTAACGTGTTACATTGTATCTTTTTAATGTAACGTATTACATTGTATCTTTTTAATGTAACGTATTACATTGTATTTTTTAAATGTAACGTATCACATTGTATCTTTTTAATGTAACGTATTACATTGTATATTGTTATGTAACGTATTACATTGTATCTTTTTAATGTAACGTATTACATTGTATATTGTTATGTAACGTATTACATTGTATCTTTTTAATGTAACGTATTACATTGTATATTGTTATGTAACGTATTACATTGTATCTTTTTAATGTAACGTATCACATTGTATCTTTTTAATGTAACGTATCACATTGTATCTTTTTAATGTAACGTATTACATTGTATATTGTTATGTAACGTATTACATTGTATCTTTTTAATGTAACGTATCACATTGTATCTTTTTAATGTAACGTATCACATTGTATCTTTTTAATGTAACGTATTACATTGTATATTGTTATGTAACGTATTACATTGTATCTTTTTAATGTAACGTATTACATTGTATATTGTTATGTAACGTATTACATTGTATATTGTTATGTAACGTATTACATTGTATCTTTTTAATGTAACGTATTACATTGTATATTTTTCATGAAACGGGTTTGGTGCCATAGCTTCATTTCCCTATGCTTATCGTATTAGGTTTCAAAATGTTGTTTATGAATATGTTGAGGAATTTTCTACCAGTTCCCCATAGTATTTTTTTATATGATGAAGAGTATATTTCACTGATAGAGTTAGATTTAAGTATAATGGGAAGTGAATTGTTAAGCATTTACCTTCATTGTATTATGTCATCAATGCGTGATTAATAAATCTTAAAATATTTACGACTTATCTACTGTTTGTTGTTCTTTTATGAAAGGAAATTGTTAAAGTAAACTCAGACCTTTTCGTGGGTTAAAAAACGAAAAAAAAAAAAACTCCAAAAAACAAAAACCCCGATTTAGTCGCTTTTATTTTCATAAAAACCTGTAGCTCCATAAATCGGCTCCTATTTATTTCAACAGGTCACACACAGCCAATGAAAACAATTCCCCTGGTGAAAATTAAATATTTTACAGTGATTGGTTAATTGAATGGATTAAATGAACGAATCATATTTACGACAAGATATACTCTTCGATTTAAATACAATTTACGTTTCATTGAATTAAGTATTTAACATGCGACACAATAACCATTGAACCGTGACAGGGTTTAAGTCATCACGCTATCTTTACTTTACAGAAAGGAAGACTAATGTGATTTACATGGTCATAACAGAGAATCAACGTGTTGACATATGGACAAATAAATGATGACGCGTGGAACATGTTCGTGTTTGAGCAACTATAATATATGTCTATACCTCACGGTTTGGGATGCATATTTTATGTCGAACCTGATAGATCACAAGTACAATGGACTTTAATATGTAAATATTACACTTTTATCTGTAAAATGTAAACTTTAATCTATAAAATTAACATTTTAATCTGTAAATTTTACACTATCCTATTGAGTAATCCCGGTCTATTGCCTGTCAACTAACCACACTAAGACTCCTCGCGCGCTCCCATCTGAGCCAACAAGAGTGGTTTATATAAGTTGAAAAAAACTTGCTTCGGAATTGTTGTAAAATAAATAAAGTTTATTATATATATACCGCCCGGAAAATTAGACAAGAATCAATATATACATTTTACAGTTAAAAGCTTATTTCTTTTAGACTAAGGTGTAAAATTTACAGATATATGTGCAAATTTTACAGATATATGTGCAGATTTTACTGATAGATTTGTAAAATTTACAGATTAAAGTGTAAAAATGTACAGATTTTGTGCATAAAATATAAAATCAAAAAGTTTTAAAGTTGCTTGAATACGCTTCCGTAGTAGTAAACTGTTTGGTTATAAAGATTCACGTAGTTTAATCCCGATGAAGACTTCAGATTCCCGACGTTTTAGAGGCTCTCAGTGTTCCATAGCACGTTCTCGACACAAGGAAAACATTTCTTTATCATTTTGACCTTCTGTCCCAGCAATGATATTGCATTTTAATTGCCTTTTACGAAGTGTTCATGAAATGAAAATATCTTCAATGAATGTCAATTTTTATGAATGTGATAATTAATCCTTTTCAGAATACTACTCGGGCATGGTAGAATGACCAGTGTGTTTGACAACAATCACTTCCACCCGACACCTTAATGTTGTAAGTCTTTTATGATTTTGCATTGTATTTGATCAGTAAACACTTGACAAATTAAAGGTCTGAATTATAAACTTGTTCAAATATTATTTGCCGACCACTACTACTAAATCGCCAAGTCAATGCATTCGTTTACAAAGACAGACTTTCCAAAAATAACAAGAATGTCAAACAAACAATTGCTAGGTATGGTCAGCGTCAATATTTAGAGGACTGAAGTAACACAAACAATGGAACGATTGTAGGATATTTGTAAAGGTGAAGGCCACTCCAATTGGACAAAGACACAACATAAAACGTATGCGTTATTAATTTGTCGTTTCCTTGAAATGACACTAAAATCACTGGTCATATCTGTGTGGGTCCAAATC